TGGTGAATCAAGAAACATACAATACCAAAAACTTTCACAAACCCTAATTTATCATGCACCGATTCAACTATTGCCCGAACTTCTACAATTCTATGTGCAATGGTTGTCATTTAATGAAGGAACAATTTTTTGCTCAAAATTTCAACATAATCAAACTTCAGCATGTTAGTAATTCTTAAAATAAAACAGGATCTTTGAAGCTAAACCAAGATATATCTAACTAGAATATATAATTGAATTTAATCAATACCTAATTAGGTTGAAGCATAACCACACCTATATCAAGAAGACTTGAAAACCGAAATGATTGGAATGTCAAATTAAAATAACCATAGCTTTGTTTTAGGTTGGTCCTCCCTATTATAACATACATGAAAACTAACTCGTGAGAAAATGGATTGCAGTAGTATAAGCCAAAAGGGTGAGAAAGAAACATGTATAAGGATGGAAAGGTAATTTTATGCTACATGGTCATTTTTTACAAAAATATTTATTATTCTTCTCCTTTGTAGCTTCTATTTATTTACACTACATTAAAATAAATTCATTAAAATGATTATATTACTATAAAACAAAAGACCAAGAAACTAACAATTCTAAGGAGGAAAGGTAATGGCATGTCACCTGATGCTTTTTTTTCAAGAGAGATCGAATGTAAAAAAATCTAGGGCTTTGTATGTTAATCAAGATCCACAATCATGGTTTTTACCACGAAGTAATATAGTAACAAATATCCAATTGGGTCATTTAACAATAATAATGCCATTAATTACGACAAAATAAAGCTAATTCAGCTTGAAGATAATGAAGAGGGGCACAAATGTCTTTTTGAATCCATGCATGGGTTTAATATCATATTTTCCTTTTTAGTTTGAACACACAAGGTCTTATGTCTCTATAATTTTTCTCCTACAACATAAAAAAATTAAGTCAACATTGGTTGATAAGCATACCTCTTCCAGTGTTGTAATTAGCTAAAATATTGCTCATACGTCCCTTAGCACATGCTCATAAATCTGCAAAATTTCAAAATTAAAACTCAACAAAAATGCAGTTGTGAGATAGCAAAATAGATACAGAGGATAAGGGACATGGGAAATTGTAAATTGTAAAATAAATACAGAGAATAAGCGACAATGATAACGTAGCTGGAAAATAGTTGTTAATATAAAAAAATGATCAAACTTGCCTTCTTCGTTCATCTTGTAACAAATAAAACTTGTTATAGTTGGTTTATTCAGTTATATTGATACAAGCACCCTATTTTTATCTCAAGCATCATACCCTGAATCAATAAATTTATGAAGCAATTCAAATGGGACTTCGGATGTATTCTATTGATCCATACAATGAAAAGTAAGCATTGTTTAAAATGGTCCCTATGTAATAAAAAAAATTAGAGCAATAGTCCATCTGTTGGACATTTTTTTTAATGTAAGACTCTTTATAGCATTATTTTTTCATCATGTATAAAAAAATTATTCAATTAGTAGCTGTAATGCTATAGTTTTCAAGTGGCAGCAAAAGAGTCTTTATAACATCCTACTTTGCCTTGCTTCCACTGTTGAAAATTATGACCAATTTGCCTTCCTATTTCAAATTGGTCAAATTTTTTACCATTTCATCGAGTTACCTATTTTTTGTTAAGACCATTTTTGAAAAGGAAAAAAATACAAATAAGAGCATCATACTTTATAAAGAAACAACCCCAAAATAATGTTGGATACATAACAACCTACTTTACTTCCACTGAATATGGTTTAAAAGCAGAGTTCAAGGCTGCCAATGCTAAAGCACTTGAAGTAGGTCCACCACCCTCTTTCCCCGTCACATTTAAAAATTTTGAACCTATATATATATATATATATAATATATATATATATATATATATATATATATATATATATATATATATATATATATATATATATACTAGTAAAGTACCCGCGCGATGCGGCGGCGACGAATATTTTTGTTTCGATGAATAGTTTATTTTTAGCTGATGGTTTCTAGATGACTATTGATTCCCTTCCGACGGATGGTTTCCAGATGCAGTGGTTGATGGTTTCAGTTTTTTATGGTTTAATTTTTAATTTCAAATCAGTTGAAAAAAAATATTATTAGTCATTTTATTTGTCAACAAAATATTAGTTTGACTTAATTAAAATAGATTAACATAAAATTAAGTGATTTTTAGACGGTTTGTTAAATAATAATAATAATAATAATAATAATAATAATAAAAACATAAGATAAAATTGCAAAAATGGTCCATGTGGTATGTCGAAATTGTCACTTCGGGCCAAACAGGTTTGGAGTAGCACCAGTGGCCCAAAACGTTTAATTTGGTTGCGAGTTTGGTCCATTTTGCTTTAATTTTTATCAAATGACGATTTTTCCCTTTGTATTCTTTTCTTTCATTTTTTATTACACAAATAAAAAAAATATTCTCTCTCTCTCTCCATCTCTCACTCTTTCTCTCACACACACAAACACATCTTCTTACCCATCTTCTTCTTCCTCAAGAACATTCAAGAACATCTTCTGCCACCATCCGCCACCTCCATCTCCACCTAAATCAGATCGAATGAACACACACATAATATCATATCAGATAAATACACACATACACACACAAAACCAAATGAACACACGCACACATGAAAGCTGATGAACACATACACAAATCAACACAAACATCCATCTAGTTTACAACAGAACAACACAAACATACACACACACACACACACACCGCCGCTCCGATCTTCAACTCGTTGTTTGGGTGAGACTTAGATCTGAGAAATGGGGCGACCAGTGAAGGACAAACTAAGAAAAGAAGGACAAACTGAGTTGGGTTTGTTGTCATGTTTGTCGACATAGGTTTTGTAGAGACGAAGTCGTCATCGGAGCATATGATATAGAGGACGACGGTGGTGGTGGTGGATTCTAGAGGGCCGATTTCCGGCGGGCACTGTTGGCACAATCGATGTACAAATCTTGAAGGCGGGTTTTACAGACGAAGTTGGATTTAAGGCATCAGAATTGTGGTGGATTTCCGATTTAGGAGATGCATCCTTTTCTTGAGCTTCTTTTATTGAATTTCGTCTTATTAATCTCCTTCAACATGTGTGTGTGTGTGTGTGAGAGAGAGGGTATTTTATTTTTGTTTTATATTTAATTATTATAAGAAAATAAAAATGGAAAATTAACTAATAAGGGGCAAAATCATCTTTTCAAAATAAATTGGACCAAACTCGCAACAAATTGAAAATTTTGGACTATTAGTGTTAGTCCAAACTTGTTTGGCCCAAAGTAGCAATTATCAACATATCACAGGGAGCATTCTTACAATTTTGTCAAGACATAAGGGCTCTTTCTCCTACATTAATTGGTGAGATATTATGATTATAGGCTTTGGAAATAACAAATATCATATAATCAAATTCAACCAACCAAATATAACATCAACATTGCTGTAAATGTATAACTGTTAAATTAATATGAGTTTCAAGCTTGAACAGTGTAAATTTAAAATTATGAAACCTATGAGTTAGGTGTCTGGTAGTATTTATGTGTCTCGTAGTATTTATTTATGATGACACTTTTCTATATTCTATTACTTAATTTATTCTTTTTATCTATAAAAAAACTGTTGATTGTTTGATTCTATTTTTAATTATATGTATTATTAAATATAAATAACTATTCTCCAAGTCAATTAGAAGTTATCATATCCCAATAGCAATTTGTGTAAACTATTCATTAAGTAACAACACACCTCTACAACCCATTTTTTAAATTAGGCTTAAACACAGTTAACTTGACAGGTTTTAGATCTAACCAAAATACCAATAGGAAGTTAATCATACTATTTCATGAACTATGTGAGATCTAAATATTAAAAATCATCAACATAAATATTTCACAATATGTATTCATAGATATCAAAAAATCATCCGTAACAGAGATAGATCTACAATCATATTACAAATCCATTTGCCAAAAACAAAACTTTCCTACCAAATAAATTCTCCCAATATATGTTTCTAACCAGATCTGGAGAAAAAAAAAACACGATATCTACTTCTTGTATGTTCAAGCAGATATACTAATAAAAAAATATAAACAAATCTGAAATTGTTCGATGGTCACAAGATCAGTGCCGGTTGTGGACACTTTAGCGGAATCCGTAGGACGGTTCTGGTACACTCAATCATGTTTGAAGATCCAAAAATATGCAACAACAATGACATTCAACAAAAACTTCATAGTATAAAACTTCTTTTATCAACATTAAACCAGAGGTAGCTATTATCATGCCAACACTTCTCTCTTCAATGAATCACTTGAAATTAGAAACAAACAATTTCAATAAATGGATTCAGAATCTTGAAAAAAGGAACAATTATACCGATATGAAAAATGGTCAGAAAGCCAACATGAAATGGAATACCAGCATGAAGCTTAAAATCTATCTTTCAATGATTTTGATATTGTTTAGGAAGATATTCCAGTTTCATAATGTTTTGTAAAACTCATCAAGGTATCCCAACAATAGCCATAAAATAGTAAAATTGAAGATCCCATTCAGGTACTCAGGTGACTATTTAATATGTATTGGTCAAAAAAAGAAAAATACCCCTGTCCATATGGCTTCAGGAGCTGAAAGGTTTCAAAATAACCGATTGATTCCGGAAAAGAGGTGCTACTCCATGAGAAAGCTATTCAGACAGGAACCCCCTTGAAAACATATCAAACTGGATCAAAATCAATAAAAAAATAGTTCTTGATTAGATTAATCTAAATTCCACACTGCACAAACAAATGGTCCAAATAAAGATGTTTGTGTGTTTTTTCCTTCTGCATCACAACCACGTAAATTTTAGTTTGGTAGATAAAATAAGTCAACACATAGAAAGAAGAGAAACGAAGAGATTTTGTACCTAGCTTCGATAGTTGACGGTGGCGACATGTGTGATTGAAGGGGCAACGGTGGTGAGGGAAACAAACAAAAGCAGGTAAGTATCGACATCTTTCCTTGTGGGAACATCATCATCTTCCAAATAAACTACAACCGATGAAACAAACAAAAGCAGGTAAGTATCGAGGTTTCTCCTGCACAAAACATCCTCAAAAAGTTGTTGTCCTTGTCAAACTCCTACACAATCCTGCACAACCCATACTTGACCATTTTACCCCTACACAAACCTTATCTCATTCTTTGGTGCACCTGATACAACAAAAATGTCAAACTTCTGTTTCTTTACGAGCTGATGCAGAAACCTGCACAGAAGGAAAGATGATGAACTTTAGATACCTCGATACATGAAAGAAATGACATATGGCCTGGGAGAAGATAGATCATCATGAAGGGTTATTGAGGATGGATCTACGGTAAAAAAAATGAAGATATAAAGGTTAGGAAGATAGCAAAATCAGAGTGAATAAAAACATACACATATGAGATATTGGTTACCAAAATTAGTACCTATTTCAAGAACTCTTCACATGATGTTATCTTCAGTAGAGCATGGCCATTGTGTACCAGATAGTCCTGTGCTAGAAATCAGAGATGACATCAGATATAAATAACCATAAAGACAAATGAGAATAAAGTCAAATCTAGATCCAGTGTTGATTTACTTGGTTAGTCTTTGTTATATTAGGTTCACATGGGTTTCAAGCCATGCATGCCCTACAAGAACAGTGAAGAAAATTGATTTAGTTTGATAAAAGTGTAAATGGAGATTTGCAGGTAGACTCTTAGAGAAAAAAAAAATATAGATAAAACTAAAAATCCATAATTTCATTTAAACTACTCTCATCCTTTCTCGATGGTAGCCTCTCAAAGATTAAAAAAAAACAAATTAGGGTGACAGTTTGTCTTCATATATAGGGAGAAGGGAGTGGCTGTGGAAAGTGAATAGACACCGTGGTTGGCTGATCGTTGCAGACAATAGAAGTCGATCAATTTCAGGTTAAGAATTAAAGCGAACCCTAAAACCCCAGAATCTAAACTGGTGAAATGAACAACCATAGGTTTGTATACAGCCCAGAAAATAGATAAAAAAAATTCTTGTTAGTAACCCTAAACCAACAGATCTTGAAACACTCAACATATTTTCTAAGAATTTGGATTTGGATAAGAAAAACATAATAAAACACCTTGATGCTTGAGAATCTTCATATGGCTTCATCTTTTAGGTCCCTTATTTCAGTGTCCTCACTCAAAAAGTTCTTCCATGAACCAGGGTGTTCACATCTTTGATTGAAGCCCTAGCAATCCCAACTGATCTGTAAAAGCCCTAAATTTCACACTCAGAATTAACAAACCAATCAATAAAATCTAACCATGATATGTGTATGACTTCAAAAAGACAACCAAATGGGGGGGCGAACGTGTAAAGAGTTTTTAGAGATAAGATCAATAACTAAAAGATCGAGGGAGAATAAGACCAAAAAACCTAAAAAAAATACACAAGTTTCTCACCAGTTCAGAGTGGTGAGAAGTCAAACTGCATGAAATCTGCCGTATAGCCTTGAATAGCATCATCGAGACTCTGATGTCGATATAGAAATACCATATGGTTGGGGTGTAGAAAGATAATGGTGAAAAGGGGAAGCTTCGGAACTTGAAGCACAACGATATGGTGGTGGTGTCTGGTAATCAACACAACAATGACTTGAGTTTGTATGTGGATCTAGCAGCAACGACAATGAGAGATTGATGGTGAGACCATGATTTCTAATGGAGGGAGGTGCTGAGGAAGAATAATGAGAAAAAGTGAGAGTATGGTCACTGGTAGGGAAGAATCGAATTTTTTAGGGTGTATTTTGACTGACTTTTGAAATTTGAAAAGTCCGCACAAGGTTTTTTTTGAATAGGCCGCCTAAAATTTAATCTCGTGTTTCTCCAATTGTGTCTATCTACTCAAAGAATGCATTAACGATTTCTGTAATCTGATTGGATGAAACCATTTCACTTGGATTGCCAAAACTAAAATCCACACCTCTCATTTTAGAATCAAGGGTCCAGATCAGTTTTCCTTGTTTTTTAAGATAACATGCTTAATTTTTTGTACCTTAAGCTTTAAAATTTGTACTTAAGACATTGATTAGGTATGCTTTATAAGATGGTGTGTATATATATATATATATATATATATATATATATATATATATATATATATGCCCCATTACGGAATATAATTCTTAAATGTCATATATGTGATAGAAATAATTCATGAAGAGCTAAATGCAAGAATGTTAACTAAAAGATCAATAACTAAAAGATCGAGGGAGAATAAGACCAAAAAACCTAAAAAAAATACACAAGTTTCTCACCAGTTCAGAGTGGTGAGAAGTCAAGCTGCATGAAATCTGCCGTATAGCCTTGAATAGCATCATCGAGACTCTGATGTCGATATAGAAATACCATATGGTTGGGGTGTAGAAAGATAATGGTGAAAAGGGGAAGCTTCGGAACTTGAAGCGCAACGATATGGTGGTGGTGTCTGGTAATCAACACAACAATGACTTGAGTTTGTATGTGGATCTAGCAGCAACGACAATGAGAGATTGATGGTGAGACCATGATTTCTAATGGAGGGAGGTGCTGAGGAAGAATAATGAGAAAAAGTGAGAGTATGGTCACTGGTAGGGAAGAATCAGAATTTTTTAGGGTGTATTTTGACTGACTTTTGAAATTTGAAAAGTCCGCACAAGGTTTTTTTTGAATCGGCCGCCTAAAATTTAATCTCGTGTTTCTCCAATTGTGTCCATCTACTCAAAGAATGCATTAACGATTTCTGTAATCTGATTGGATGAAACCATTTCACTTGGATTGCCAAAACTAAAATCCACACCTCTCATTTTAGAATCAAGGGTCCAGATCAGTTTTCCTTGTTTTTTAAGATAACATGCTTAATTTTTTGTACCTTAGGCTTTAAAATTTGTACTTAAGACATTGATTAGGTATGCTTTATAAGATGGTGTATATATATATATATATATATATATATATATATATATATATATATATATATATGCCCCATTACGGAATATAATTCTTAAATGTCATATATGTGATAGAAATAATTAATGAAGAGCTAAATGCAAGAATGATAACTAAAAGATCAATAACTAAAAGATCGAGGGAGAATAAGACCAAAAAACCTAAAAAAAATACACAAGTTTCTCACCAGTTCAGAGTGGTGAGAAGTCAAGCTGCATGAAATCTGCCGTATAGCCTTGAATAGCATCATCGAGACTCTGATGTCGATATAGAAATACCATATGGTTGGGGTGTAGAAAGATAATGGTGAAAAGGGGAAGCTTCGGAACTTGAAGCACAACGATATGGTGGTGGTGTCTGGTAATCAACACAACAATGACTTGAGTTTGTATGTGGATCTAGCAGCAACGACAATGAGAGATTGATGGTGAGACCATGATTTCTAATGGAGGGAGGTGCTGAGGAAGAATAATGAGAAAAAGTGAGAGTATGGTCACTGGTAGGGAAGAATCAGAATTTTTTAGGGTGTATTTTGACTGACTTTTGAAATTTGAAAAGTCCGCACAAGGTTTTTTTTGAATCGGCCGCCTAAAATTTAATCTCGTGTTTCTCCAATTGTGTCCATCTACTCAAAGAATGCATTAACGATTTCTGTAATCTGATTGGATGAAACCATTTCACTTGGATTGCCAAAACTAAAATCCACACCTCTCATTTTAGAATCAAGGGTCCAGATCAGTTTTCCTTGTTTTTTAAGATAACATGCTTAATTTTTTGTACCTTAGGCTTTAAAATTTGTACTTAAGACATTGATTAGGTATGCTTTATAAGATGGTGTATATATATATATATATATATATATATATATATATATATATATATATGCCCCATTACGGAATATAATTCTTAAATGTCATATATGTGATAGAAATAATTAATGAAGAGCTAAATGCAAGAATGATAACTAAAAGATCAATAACTAAAAGATCGAGGGAGAATAAGACCAAAAAACCTAAAAAAAATACACAAGTTTCTCACCAGTTCAGAGTGGTGAGAAGTCAAGCTGCATGAAATCTGCCGTATAGCCTTGAATAGCATCATCGAGACTCTGATGTCGATATAGAAATACCATATGGTTGGGGTGTAGAAAGATAATGGTGAAAAGGGGAAGCTTCGGAACTTGAAGCACAACGATATGGTGGTGGTGTCTGGTAATCAACACAACAATGACTTGAGTTTGTATGTGGATCTAGCAGCAACGACAATGAGAGATTGATGGTGAGACCATGATTTCTAATGGAGGGAGGTGCTGAGGAAGAATAATGAGAAAAAGTGAGAGTATGGTCATTGGTAGGGAAGAATCGGAATTTTTTAGGGTGTATTTTGACTGACTTTTGAAATTTGAAAAGTCCGCACAAGGTTTTTTTTTGAATCGGCCGCCTAAAATTTAATCTCGTGTTTCTCCAATTGTGTCCATCTACTCAAAGAATGCATTAACGATTTCTGTAATCTGATTGGATGAAACCATTTCACTTGGATTGCCAAAACTAAAATCCACACCTCTCATTTTAGAATCAAGGGTCCAGATCAGTTTTCCTTGTTTTTTAAGATAACATGCTTAATTTTTTGTACCTTAGGCTTTAAAATTTGTACTTAAGACATTGATTAGGTATGCTTTATAAGATGGTGTATATATATATATATATATATATATATATATATATATATATATATATATGCCCCATTACGGAATATAATTCTTAAATGTCATATATGTGATAGAAATAATTCATGAAGAGCTAAATGCAAGAATGATAACTTATTTCAATTATTTTTTTATTTACCAGCTTGCATTTATAGTATGATATTTTAATGAACACATTAAAGAAAGTACTTTGATAATTTGTTATTTTCCAAAGTAGTATGTAGTATAGGATCCACCACATTGCCCAAAGATTTCGACATTTTCCTCCCATCTGCGTTGTGAATCATGGGATGTAAATAAACCTAAAGAATAGTTTAATATCATGTATTATTTCTTTGTCAATATATCACTATCATTATCATCTTAACTTAAATAATCACAAATCATCTTCACCCCATGACTCATATACCCTGTATATGTAACTTACTAGCTACTTATTTGCACGTAGCACATAACACAGTTCATGAATGACAAATGAATCTAGGTAAGGTGAAAGAAAGAGTAACATAGGGATCAGACTGTTATATCCAACCAATGGCAGGATTTGATGTGATATGGTTGTTGGATATTAAAAAATGATTCAACAACATATAGACTTATTATAGAACCAGAGTGTAATGACAAAAAAAAAAAAAAAAAAAAAAAAAAAAAAAAAAAAAAAAACTGACCTGTACTGGCAGCAACAACTTCTTCTCTTCTTCATTGAGACGAATTTTCTCCAATTCAAATATCTCTTCAGCACTCTACACATTTGACTCTGGGATTGTGTGTGGATAGAGACCAAGCTTCATTGGTTTCAAATGAAATTGAAAAGGATATTTGCAAGACAGGGTTTTTTTTACACAAATTTGGTGAACTCGGTTCCTTATATCTTGAATCTATTTCAATAATACATCTCTCGCATATCAAAGAAGCTCCTAAAACATTCCAATTCATCATGTGCGCTTTTTAGTAGCCAAATGGTTTGTTTGACCTTGGAAGCATGGTAGCTTCTGAAATATTGTTTGCAAGGGCATTTTGGGAAGCAATCAATATTGAGGAAGTCCTCAAACTTTTCATGCTACTACTAATAAATTGGAGTTGGAGACTTGAGGATTGGAGATACTTCATATGGTAGTATTGTTAGACTGGAACCTTCATAAAATGTGTTATCTAATGAAGGGATCAAGAATTCCCTCACCAGTATTTGAGGCCACATCTGCTACAAAATCAAAGGTAATGCAAACATGCATCAAACTTTTGAAGAGAATTAGGAACCATTTGATCCAACAAACTGTTTATTTGAAACCGAAAACACATAATGATGCAACATAACAGATCAACACTGGCTTATATTATTTGTTTGTCAATGATTTGCAAATTCACAAAAAAAAAATGTATCAAGGGGTTTATTAGGTTAAGGGGTATAACTGGGAATTCTTCCAAATGCTGAAATAAGTTTCGTTGTAAAATACATCAAGTGGAATGCAAAATTTACGCCATTGATTCATTCTCCAATTTAATTCGATCGTATACAATCGTAATCACAGATCAACCATAGAAATTTGACAAATAGCCAATTACGTATAACTAATAACATGCAGTCAATAACAAAACCACCATCCTTGATTCTGTTGGATTAGTGTCTAAGCCCGTAACAATATTTGATAAGTACATGACTCGATTGTGCATAGTCCTTTTGGGTTGCCTTCACCAAAGCAACTTGATTGGAGAAATAATAGAGAAAGAGGTTATTATGATTTATTAATATGTTATTAGAATAATATATTAAAGGATAAATCATATTTGTTTAATTAATATTGGTCAATAATTAATTAAGAATTAATTTTGTGATCAAATGTAATTAATTAAACTAGAGGGGCTAAATTGTAATGATGTGATAGTTACAAAATAAGGTAATGTTTATCCTTGATATGGGTTGGACGAATTCAAGGGATTGGATACCCTTGAAATCGTCCAAGAGGTCCTAGAGATAAGGATTTCAAGTCTTATCTTAGGATTGCTTTGTGGGCAAGAAACTAGATAAGGATAAGGACTGAAACCCTAATCTCAACCCTATATAAAGACCCCTAAGGCATAAGAAATCGTACACTTGATCCCTAGGGTATTTAGATCCGATTTCTACCTCTCCCCTTCTCTCTCTATAGCCTCTCCAATTGCTTGTGGTGTTTGTGAGCCATTAGAGGCACTACACTTGTGGTGCTTGCTTTCAAGACTTAGGGTTTGAAGAATTAAGTTGTTGTTACAATATAACAACAAGAGGTATGTGATCTAACCTTATATATGAGTTTAGAAAATAGAAATCTACTTTAGGGTTTTATTCATGTGTTCATAATGTTGTGTATCTAATAGTGAAAACATAGATCCAAATTTAGGGTTGCATGCACACATAAGATTGTTTGTATAAAAACCCATTAGTGGTATCAGATCCTTTGGTTAACTTTTTTTCAATTAGTATTATACAATTGTATGAACTTGACATACTAGGGTTTATAGCCAATAAACCCTAGGAGGCTAGAAATTTTGAAATTGGGGTTTCTATACCCTAATTTGCGAAAATTTAAAAGGGTTTTCAAATCCTTTCCTTAAGCCTCAAGATTTCGAAATCTAGGGTTTGCAAAAACCTATGGTTTTCGTAAGTCCCAAATTTAATGATCCAATTCAGTAATCAATGAAGTTAATTAAAATAAAGGAGAGATGTAGAAGAAGAAGAACTAAAATCAAGCATGCAGACATCTATATTCAGTAAATGTCAAGTACATCTTGAGAAAAGTACAACTGCTGCGGAGTTCTGACACTAGCTAATCAGTACAATATGACACAACTCATTTGCTATAAATAGTACTCCTCCTACGAGCACAAGAGTGTGCAGCCAAACACATGTGTGCTACCGCACACACATGTGTGGCAGCACACATTACACTACAACACATAATCACTGAAAAATAACACTATCATCTATACAAAATGATGCCTAGTTCAAACCACAAAATTATGTTCTTTCAGTGTCCCCCTTGGTTTGAGACTAGCATAGTCTTGTCTTCACTCCTTTGGCTCCTCATCAGGCTTCTCAAACAACCTCATATCTGATCTCCCCATTGATCCCATCCACAATCTTCCATTTATAATTGTAGCTACCATTGTCGTTTATTCTTTAGCAGCAGCTTCCATGAAATTCTTTCTACAAATGATTTGATGACGGGCCAAAATTCGTATATCCCTTTCTCTGAAGTGGAGAAGATCTTTAGCACTAATCAATCTCATAATATGTTCTCGGTTCTAGAATTTGATGGCTGCAGTATCTGTTTCATCGTCATATGGCCAAAATTCCATGTCATCTAATATCCCTCATGAAAATGTTGAGGAATAGGAATTTCCTTTTGTTTCTTAGCTGCAGGCCAGAGTATAATCTTCATGGGTTCGCTTGTTTCTAGATTAAGAACATCTTTGTCCTTTTTGTATAGGCCTTTTGCAGTTTTCATTGAAGGAAAGTTCTCTTTGACCTGTCTGTCGAGAAATCTTTTGAAATTTGAAGCATTAGGTGTTGGATTAATGTCTAAGTCCATAACTATAATTGGTAAGACTTGACCCGACCCGGCATGGTCCATTTGGGTTGCATACCATCATGCACTTGGATAGACTAAATGAGAGAAATAAGACACTTATGGTTATTAATATATTATAAGTTCTAGTATATTAATAATAAGAATAATGAGATTATTTAATTAGTATTGATCAAGAATTAATCTAGCATTAATTGAGTGATCAAAAGAAGACTAATTAAATATATGGGTTGATTGTGTAAATCATCCATACTTGTATAGTGGGCTAATGCTCCATGGATTATCTAGTTGGGCCAAAACCCATATGATGCTCCATGGATGCTCCATGGTGTATTTGAACCCATGGATCCAAGGAAATGGAAAGTCATGACAATTAGGGTTTACCCTAATTGTATAACTATATAAGCATCTTATTCTTGAGGAAAAATCGGCCACTAGTGAGAGTAAGAAAGGGCTAGCCGATTTCATGAAGTGTAGAATTCTCTCTAAGTTATTCTAAGTGTTTTGATGATTGTGAACCATTTGAAAGTGTCACACTTGGGGCACTAGGCACTCAAGCTTCATGAAGACAAGCTCCATCAAAGAGGTATGTATTCTATCTTGTTATATTGATAGTTGTGTATGCTAGTTTAGGATAATACCTTGGATATTCATATTTGCATGTATAATAGAGAAAACATAGATCCAAGGTATTTAGGGTTGCATGTACACTTAGGAGTGTTAGAATGCTCATAACCCAACAGTGGTATCAGAGCCTAGGCTTGTTTTCTTGTTATACTTGCAAATGGAGCTGAAAAATCGAGTTTTGATGTTGTCAGCCCAGCAGACTCGCCGAGTCCATGAAGGGACTCGACGAGTCCAAGGCAAAATGCATCCAACTCGCCGAGTTGTGTTCATGCACTCGACGAGTTGGACCCCAGACAGCATATTTTCGAGGTTTTTTGGCTAGAAATGGACTAGGAACATTACCCTAAGTTGTTTTTGAACTTATAAACTTGTTTTTTGATGTGGTAATGTTCATGCTAATCCATTTTCAAAGATAGTTGTCAATAGATTCATGTTTTGTATTAGTTTAAAGGT